ACGAAAAACCTCTTCTAACTTGAGTTTCGTAAGGTCCATATACATTAATGTAGACCAACTCAAACATTCTTTGGCTTTTGTCCCTTTCCAAAAAGGACTTATTGGTCATCATTTCATTTAAGACAAAATACACAGATTTCATGTAACTCAAAGTCACCTGATGTTAAGTAATCTAATTTACTTAACCTTGATAATAATGTCTCATTAATATGACCAAATCAACAATGCCATAAGAAATCAGAGATTTTCGTATTACTTTAAACTTTCGTTTATGCAAACAAATTCTATGCAGTGTTCGCAACACCCTGTGCCTTGAAACACATACAAGCTCTCTTCCAATGTCATTTTCTTTCCAGAAAATACATATATCATTGAACAATTTCAGCCTTTTGTTCATCTTTTCCTTAGGCTTCTAGGTTGTAGGTCTAGAAACAATTTCAGTCTCTCTTCTACTTACTCTTATCCTTGGTAAGATTTAGCAGAAGAACTCGCCATGAGTATAACCTTTCCTAAGAGTGAATGGATTGTAAGTCTTAATCATGTTGTGCAATTAAGGCATCGTTGTCCTCGTATCATTTCATATAAAAATTCACAATGAAGTTATAATATTAAACTAGAGCGACTGCAAGATGATATTCACAGTGACGTGATCTGGGAGCTTCATTCAAACAAAGTCAGACTCCCAATCAGTCAAATCATCTCCACAACATGCACAAAGACTTTATCCCATCATGTAGTCTGCATTTGAAGAGATTTCCCAACAGTTCAAACTCCAAGGTTTGAGACTTAAGGTCATAAAGTCTCTTTAAATACTCTCACATTCATTGGGATTCATCCTATCACATTGTTTCTTCAACCTTGTTGACATAGAGAACAACACGACACATTACACTGAAATTTTATCATCCTAATACTTTTCTTATGGTATCATGGTCAAACGCATAGTACCCAAAAAGTCTTATTAGGTACGATGGGAACCTTTGTGTCGAACACATATTCAACTCGTTTTTACCACAACAACAACCACAACAGATGCAGTCAATCCAGATAATTCAGTCCAGTCAACTTATTCATTTCCATCATACATTTCAATGATAAATTCAAAATTCTATTCAACCCAGAGAAATATATAGAACAGGAATATAAAACAACTTGATCACATTTGTTAACTAAATTAATATGGCTTTTAATTAATTTAGCTCTCACTATTTTCACATACTCTACGACCCCATCAGAAGAGTACGGACTTATATCAAATATAGTCATAGTGAGCCAAGATCCACATCCATTCTATTATAGTCCCAGCTAGGGCTGATCACTATAATATATGTAGTGGTAGGTGTCTAAACCAATTGTAAACAATCACAACTCTTGGTTGATCAAATCTAATTTGATCGACGTCCTTAGATCATTCCGACGCTAGGGCGACAAGAATTAGCTAAGTAAGTCAAAACCATCACACGATCACAAACGTATGTATCTATGAATGAGTCTGAGCCTCGTAGACCTAAGCAAACACTAGGGTGTAAATACTTTTGGACGAAGAGGTTTTTGCACTCATTCAATTGTGATGGGTGATGTCATGCATCCAAGATGAGACTTATATTTTATTAGGGGAATATTTAACGGGGTATTAAATATCCAATATTCAAACAAGATCCAACAAATAACACATATCGGGCGCCAGCTACCCGAGAATAATATAACGCGGTCCGACAAATACTGGGCGCCGCCTATCCAGACAGTATATCACGCGGTCCGACAAATACTGGGCGCCGCCTACCCAGACAATATAATCGCGGACGCTAACTAAAATAAATAAGCTATTTAATTTATTTCAATTAGACAAATAGGAGCAAATAATCCAATTATCATGCATTTATAATATTCCAAACACATAAAATAATAACAATATGTATTCAAAATACATATAAGTAAGCAATCTAATTACCCATGTATGTATTCAAAATACATACAAGTAAATAATCTAATTATTCATGCACTTATGTGGTTCTAAACACACATAATAATGATGTATTAAAAATACATAAGCCAAGCAAATTCTTGGATCAAAATAAGATGATAAAATATTCATCAAAATTTCTAAAATTTTGAAATTGTTAAACAAGCTCAAAGCTTTGTTTTATTTATTAAATATTTCAAAAATATTTAAGAGACATTTGGCAATGGTTCTTAGTTTGAAATATACCCAAGGTTAATTTCAATTTTAGGGATTTTTCAGAAATTTAAAACAAGTAAAAATAACTATTATTTGAGATTTTTTCAAAATTCTGAATTCTTTGTGAATAGCCAAACATGCCTTAAGACTTTTAAGAAATTATAAACAGGCCCCAGGCCAAATTGCAGTTTCTCAAAAGTTCTTAAAACTTTTAAAATTCGCAAATTCACCCCAAGGGCAAAACTGCAATAAATGATAATTTCTGAAATTTGCCAATAAATCCCTAAAAATATCAAATTCTCGAAATTGGGCCCCAGCCCTAATTTCGTTTTCACATCCCTGCAACTCAAAATCGTTCAGCCCATTCTCGTTCGTCCATCACACATCAATCGCGGCGCTTGACCTCCGGCAATCCCCGCCACCCCAGGTCGGCGACTTCTCGCCGGAGTTGTCCCAGACGGTCAAACCGGCAATCTACCGGTGTTCACGTCCAAGCGAGAGCGGCCAGAAGGGAGCGATGAACACGCGACGACAGCCATAACCATCCCCTTTCTTTTTTCTTTTTTTTTTAAGGTTCAGCCGCCCAGCGGCGGCGGCCCTTGGCCGCACGTTTTCCGGCGGCTAGCCTCAGTTCGCCGGCAGCGGAATCGTGGTCGGGGATGGAAGTTCGGAGATCGAAGATGGGGAAGATGGGTACAATTTCCAGATTTTGTACGCAGGTTTGTTCAAACACAAACGACTTCAATCCCAGATTTTTTTTATGAACAAACCCAAATTTAATTGTGAGACGGCGGGGGTTCCAGATCCAAGAATTTGAGTGTAGTTCCAACGATTCCAAATCAATTTGATTCCAAAATCCCAGATTTTGTGTGCAAACCGAACACAAAATTCAGATTCCAAAACTTAACGAAAATTAATTCCCAATTAATTTTCTAACTTTTGTTTAATGGTAATTAAAACCAATATGCCACCATGTACGGGAATTCCAGTTCCCGAAAACTAATTCCCAGAATTTTAGCAAGTGCGATTCGAACATAATCAAACAGCAACCCAAAAATCTTAATGAACATTAATTCCAAATTAATTATCTTAACACATATTTTGATCCATATAAATCCAATTTAAAATCAAATAGCTATGAACACCAACCTGGCTCTGATACCACTGTTGGATTTTAGACGTATGAATCAATTGTACGCGCAGCGGAATTTTGAAATTTTCTTACCAACAACGAAGATCCGGTTATAGCTATTCGATACGATCCTAAATCGCGTGAACAATCAACGAAAACTTACAGTTTAAGCTTTGTCTTCAACTATGGTATCCACGCAATCCAGATCCCGGTGCACGATCCAACGCAATGAATCATTTCCGGTGAAGACGCTAGGAATCCTCAGTCAGAAAGCCAGAGAGTGTTTTGTGTTTTTCGGCATCTCTCAATTATCTCATCTAATGATCGTTAAAGACTACCATGAGATAATGACCTATTTATAATTAGATCAAACCTAATTATATGGGCCGTAGGAGATCCTATGGCCCAATAGGTAATTGGACTTTAATCCAATAACAATTTAATTAAGTATAAATCTAATTTAACTTAATTAAATATTTTCTATCAAATAAAAAATAATCTCATTACTCATAAATAAATATTCCAATCTAATTGAATATTTAACACTCTCGATTCACTCTTAGCCGGAAACTAGTTTGCATATTGTGTGACCCTATATGTCTTCACATATTGACATAAGTCTGATTTATGATCCTTACGAAACTCCTAGACTGCGTCGAAGGACGAACTCAAAATATGAAGTACGTTTACATAGACAAAGCAAACAAACCTTTGATGTAGAATTCAATAGTGATATGGTCCCTTCATTCACGAACCACTCGATTAAGCTTAGGATTTGAACGTGTGTCTATCCAAACAGCTTAATCATTTTATCTCATCTCACTGGTTGATTTTATCAATTATATTTGAACACCATTTCAAATATAATCACGTGCATTGGCCAATGACTTTATCAACCCAGTATAGAGAAAAAGAGTGTTCTCTCGAAACAATATTCGAGGAATGAATCCTATCTTGGCTCAACTACCAATTTCATGTATATCATGATTTACCCAACACAAGCCCGTATCTACCCATAAGGGCGTAAGCTTTGGACTAGGTCTAAGTAAATCACTCCATACATGAATTGCGTATTGACCTTAAGTCAAAGGACTATTACACCATTCCACACGCCAATACTCCTATAGACACATAAACAAATGGTTTATCGGTAGGGTATGCCAATACTCTCCAAAGTATCCATGTGTCCATCACGAATAACAATTATTCATAGCAGTGAGACATACTATATTCTCGAAGAATGTGATGCAGACCACATGTCAATCTATCGCGTATCATTAATATCCCTTTCTTAATGATCATCGATTGAGGCGATTTGAGAGTTATACTTTAACATCTCACTCTGTTAATGACAATATTAACTCAAGGGAGCAATTAATTAATAAATTGCAAACAATCAAACAAATATTTTAATTAATTGCAATACCATAATTATAATCCAATATAATTATTAATGTGATCATGTTTATATGTCTTAAAATGATTGTCTCTAGGACACATATACCAACATCTAGCACTGGTAAGCTTTTTTACACCCTCCTAATTAAATGCACACGTCTCCTTCCTTTTCTTTAACTTTCATTGTGAATTTGAGCACCCTTTTTATGACGGTGGGCATTGCCCATGCCTATGTTTTGATGCTCTGCTTTCTTGCAAATTGACGATGGGCATTTAGTATTGCAGAGGCATATGATTGGCACAGAGCACGTGCCTTGTATGGGGTCGTTAGATGTGAGCAACTCATTTCTTGATTATGCCTCAGTTAAAGCTCATGCGGGTTCGAAGATTTCGAGGAAAAAGAGAAAAAGTGGGAGTCTTGTAAGTGAACGAACTCGCTGGACAATATGAGGACAATTTTGAGTACCTTAAAAAAGGTGTGACTTTTATTTTTTTATTTCCTGCTTCATGATAAGTAAAATATACTTCTGGGTTAGATTATTACAGTAACACTGAAGTTGCTTTTGGTTTTTATTTTTTTTGGGATTATACAAAGTTCTTTATAAATGGCTTGTAATTCAGTTGACGTGCGTTAAGCTAGATCTGAGTTAGAAAGTGTTTCAAATATGTGTTATCAATAAAACCTCAGTTTCATATTTAGGATATGTTTAATGTGCTTATGGAATCTAATAGATAAAAACATTCTGATGGAACTTTTGAATCCATTGTGAAATATGTATCATATGTCAATGCAGTTCTGATTTTTGAATCTCATTTAATGTGTTTTACCAGTAGTTGTTATTTTAACCAATGTTATATTTAGTGACGAGAACCTCTTGTTTATTTATTTTTCTCTAGACAGCAAATTCTGGATATTTTTCTTACAAAGCTGTGAGGGTTGTTTTGAACCAGCTCTATGAGATGAACAACCCAGCTCGTACTATAAGTAAAAGCCTTAAATCTATTTTCATTCTGTCTGCATGATCGAATCTGTTTTTGGGAATTTATAATATTCTGTCAATAACGTAGAATTATGTTTTCTCAAAATTAAATGATTAAGGTGCCCATGTCAATGTTATATTATTTCTTTGGTATGCGTTGAGATACTTATCATGGTCAAAGAAAGCTTATAGTTTCTCGATATTGTGGACTTACAATATGGACTTAACTCTAATTTTGAACGGCAGCTCTAACGGGGTTGCGAAAATCATCATAATCATTTTCAAGATAACATGTGAGCTGCCGTTCAAGCCCATGTAAGTCGTGAAAATCATCATAATCATGTGGTTGCCAAAATCATCATAATCATTTGCAAATTTGAAATACAAGTAAATAGTATATGTAATATATTATTTTCAAGTGGCGTTTTTTGAGACATGACAAAGATAAAGGAAGAGCAAAACCAAAAAAGCTATCATAATGGATGCGAACACTGAGACAAAACAGAAGCTCCAACTTGGCTGCAATAATCATCATATGATCATAATCCTTCGCAAATCTTTTTCAAGCTAACATGCGAGTTGCATAATTCATCGTGTTACCTTCAAAGCGGTCTCCATGGAGCAGGGGAAATTTCAAAATTAGTCCCATAGATATAGGGGGGTAACAATTTTGGTCCCGACGGAATGCACAAAATATGAATAGTCCCACAGCTTTTAAAAAATGATCAAAAGTAGGACTTTTTCGCCGGATTTACTATTTCCGGCCGGGAGCGCCACGTGGCGTACACGTGGCGCACACGTGGCGTACACGTGGCGCACACGTGGCGTACACGTGGCGTACACGTGGCTTATTTTTTACACGCTGGCATCCGACGTAGATAGGAAAAAATTCAAAACTAGTCCCACAAGTATAGAGGGGTGACATTTTTTGTCCCGATGGAATGCAAAAAATTCAAAACTAGTCCCACAACTTGTAAAAAAATATGAACACGTCGGATGCCACGTGGCGTTCCGGGCCGGAAATAGTAATTCCGGCGAAAAAGTCTTACTTCGATCATTTTTTAAAAGGTGTGGGACTATTCGTATTTTCTGCATTCCGTGGGGACCAAAATTGTCACCCCCCTATACCTGTGGGACTAATTTTGAAATGTTCCCCCATGGAGCAAGAAATGGGATGCATATTTGTGTGTTTGTTGGATTGCTAGAATATTATTTAGTTTTTATCATGTTTGAAATTTTGTATTTTGAATTGTAAGACTATTGGTGTGTGTCGAATTGCACGAATATTATTAGATGAAAATATTTTAATTTTTGCTCCAATTTATTTTCTGCAAATGTATGTTATAATGCAAATGTATGTTTTAACGGGTAAAATAAATTAAAAAAAAAAAAAAGAAAAAGAAGAAAAAAAAGACAAATTTGGAGTGGGGCAAGGTAGGGCGGGTCGGCCGCCTCAGAATGGGCAAGGTTCGGTTCCGTAACTGTGGGTCGGGCCCATTGCCATCCCTAATGAAGTCGTTACAAAATAGTGTTGCTAAATGCATAATCACGACGCAATAAAAAAGGTGTTGCGCATTGAAATTTATCAACGCATAAATTTTGTGTCACTAAAATTTGTTATAGCGACGCATGTAATAAAGTGTCACATTAAAATTTAAAATGCATGCGTGGTGCGTCGCTAAAATTTATAATGATGACACACTAAAAAAAGCGTCAACCATGATTATTACAGACATAAATCAACTTGCATCACAAATTACCTACGCTAAAGTCTTGCGTCGTAGATGATTTCGTGACATCAAGTTTAGCAACGCAACTCGCGACACTTTTAACAGTGTAGATAATTTTTTTTGTGACACTAATAAAAGTCATTAAACAAAAAAATAAGCGTCGCCAGCCTGAGCAAGGAGGAGCTGTGGCTCATGATTTGGGACAGTGCCGCCATATATAATCTTGCCTCCGTCCTCGCCTGTTTGGGCCTTTTGGTTTTCAAGCTCTTTATATACTTCCTCTCCAGGCCGCGCTACATCTATTTTCTTGATTTCGCATGTTACAAACCAAGTCATGATTTGAAGCTTCCGGAGCTACTTTAAAATTTTTTTTGCCTTGGCTGTCACAACTGAGTTGCAGGTAAGAGTCATATGAATAAATAAATTTATTTGAATAATAAAATTAATTGGATGAACTTGAACATATATTTATTATGTTACCTAACTTGAGCAAGTCTGTATCTGGGCAAAGTAATGGTGGCCCATGCATTATTTAAGTGTCAGATTATGTGTAGGTTTCGTGAGTAGAACTATGAAGAGTGATTTAAGGAGGTGTGGGGCGTTTACATATTTTCATAAAATAGATGAAAACAAATTGGGTCCATTTATTGATGAAGGGTAAGCCCACCACCCAAATTTATGTTATCAGACACATTGATGGAGTGGGGTGTATTACTGGTCTTGGTGTCATGCCAAAATTCATAAATGTCAAGTATACTTGTTTGCAAATACAAGTCCTCCATAAGTAGAAAGCTGATTTCACTTTCATACTACTAAATTGATAGCCGAAATTGGAAAAAGAGATAGGAAGGGAGAGGAATAACCAATCGCCAAAAAAGATCTTCATTTTAATACCAATATTGATATAATTTATTAAATTATATTAATATATTTTGTCATTATGAAATGCTTGAATTTTGTTAATGTGAAAATTATTTATATGAACATGTGGATATTTATGGATTGATCCATGTGATATGAAAATAAATATGTATGGCTACATAGACTAGCCAGTGCGGCTCTGCCGCCGGCAGATGATATTTAATGGTAGCTGACGGGTCAACTGTTGAAATATTATGAATGATCATGTGAAGTGGCCGACCAGTGTAGCCACTGGCAACAGAAAATACGATTAAAGGCTTGAACGGCTAAATAGACTGGTCAGTGTATTAATAGCCGGTGATATGAATGGCTAGGTGGTAAGCCCACGTGCAACAAAATATAAATGGCTATATATATACATGGGCCTGTCAGTGCGGCTCTGTCGTCGGCGACGGGCAGTACTAATAAGTGATAGCCGATGAGTGAAATGAGTTGTATTTGCCCATGTGAAATATTGACTAAAGCCCTTATCATGAATGGACATTATATGGACTAACATGATCCTGAGGAAAAAGTTAATAAATTCTCCAAATTTGTTGATGGAGAAACGAATATTGATGAAGTAGTACCAGAAGTTACTACATAAGGATTAAATGATATATGTTATATTGGTACTGGAAGCTACCATATTATGATTAAACAAAATGATACCATTAGCTATCATTGGATGATTGAACAAATTGGGGGAAAAAAAAAGTGGTATCAAAAGCTACCAGTTATGGGTGATTACACAAAATGATTTCTCACTATATTATATGAGTCTAAGGGAATATATCAGATGATGAAATCACATTGAGATACGAGATCATAAAAATAATGTATTAAAGTGCTCCAAAAGAAGCACATATGGTAATGATTGTAGTCATGAAGTACTACACGCTTATCTTGTGGAAAAGCAAAATTAATATTATTATTATTGAGGAACAGGTACAGAATGTTCAGATGATGGAAATATGGATAAGGGCTAGTGAATCCTCGATAAATACAAAATGCGGAAAATATTACATAATAGAACCCATAAAAGAATGATGCATCTCGAGAGTATAAAACTCCGTAACTCTGCCACCAATGAATGATATGTGGGTTCATAATGAGAGATCTAAAGGATCAAGAGCTCTTTTTCGCTTGTCCCCTTGTGTTTCCACAGAATCTTGAAATGAGATGCATTCTTGAAGTTTTTTGATAAGTTCAGCAGACGTGTCTGCAAATTTGAATACTTCTCTCATTGTAGGAGATATAAATGTTTGATATACTCCTATGTCTAAAAATTCAAGCAAACCATGAAAGAAGTTATTAAAATTCAATAGTCCTATGGGCTTGTTATGAAGTTTCAATTATGCCCAAGAAGCAATGGTAAACATTGTCATTAGCGTTCCATAACCGCCTGGAAGAATGATAAAAGCATCGCTATTGTTCACCATATCCATCATACAATCATAAATAAATAGAATGAGTTAGCATCATTCTTGTGGAATCCTTGACGACCCTGGTTGAAGCTCTACGAAAAAGTATGATACTTTTCACTTCTGTCTCAAAGCATTGTCCAGCCATTAAGAGACTATAAAAAAAAGTGACGCTAGTCCCTCCATACAACAAATTGATTTTTCGATTCCCCATATTTTTTACTAACTAAGTTACAATATCAATAGTTTGACAAAAACTTACCAGTTTAGAACCACCAAGAATGCATATGGTTTTGATTGGTTGAATAAAATTATTACCTTGGGAAGACACTGAAATATCCATCTATTTATTGATAAACTAAATTTTCAAAATTTTGTGAGATATATGATTATGATGAATGACTCGCTATTTAAATTGAAAGTTTCACAAAATAATAAATAATTTTACTTTTTTCTTCTGACAATTGCAACTGATAGATAAGGTGTTGGGTTTTAAATAAATCTTATCTGTCGGCAACTATAAGTTTTTTCTAGAAAATTACAAGTGTAAATACTAAACTGTATTAGTATTATTTTTCGTACTAACAAGACCTGTTTTACAAACTTGATCTTTTGAAACAAGATTTTCGAGAATATAACGTTCTTCTTCATTTTTGAACTGAATCCATAAAGACATAAGCTCACGATGCACATACCCACTAGGATGTGTCACAAGAATCTGTTGAATCGTTTGATCTAGAGACTCCTTACACAATCCATCCTTTATAAATGTTATTTTATCTTCTCGATTTTTGGATATGTACACCACAAATTTACATCATGTGTCACAAGTCCATCGAGCGCATTTGAAGCATCCACCTAATCTTTTTGCTCTTCGTTTCTTTGCAAAAATACTCTTACCCATACCCGGTATATATTTATATGAATTTGGAAACTCTCCAGACAATCGAACTTGTGCTTCGATCAACCATCGAACATTATTTGGAATACCATTATTCATTATCACCCTCAATCTTTCTAATCGAGATCGATAAATCCTTTTTATGATATTTATTGGAATAAATGGATAATAATTACGGATATTTGAAAGTGCTAAATCCATTTATAAATTTGGACCATTGTTAAAGAAGATTGAATAAATTACCTGATAATTTATAGAAAAACATGATGCATATGCGATACAACTCCAGGTTTAAATAGTGTTCAAAAGTATATGTGTCAGAAGACACGATACAATTCTGGATTTAAACAGTGATTAAAAGATTGTGTGCCAGTCCTAACCGGTCCCAACATTTTGCCCGTCCTAGGTGGATTTGATCCTCGTTCGGATCTCATCTACTTACTCCACCATCTGGTTAACCATCTCGGGTCTGGGAACTTTCCATCGTCGACCTCATTCCAAAAAGAACGGTGATCTACATCTGCGCCGATGCAAAGCCTCATACGGTGCCATCTGAAACGTCGCTTAATAACTATAGTTATACTCGAACTGTACAAGCGGCAACGTGTCCTCCCACGAGTCGCCTCGATCCAAAACACAAGACCTCAACAGGTCCTCAAGTGTCTTGATCGTCCGCTCTGACTATCCATCTGTCTGTAAGTGATACGTGGAACCAAAATTCAACCTCGTGTCCATAGCACGCTGAAGACTCGTCCATTATCTGGAAGTAAACTGTGCGTGTCTGTCAGACACAGTCGATATTGTTGGGATCTGTGAGGATCTCGTTATGTACAAATCACGAATTCAATAGCAAACATAAACCTATGCGCAGCGGATCTAAAGGTTTGACGTAGAGAACTTACGGCTTAAAATTTATGTAGATCTGGTTGACCACGAACGTTTGACCGCAATTGATTGACCGCAACACGCGTCTTGGGTTGCACGAACATGATCATATCAAAACTGGATCAAACGGATGCAAACAGATTAAAACAAAATTTTGCTGCCAGACACCTTCAGGCGGCGCGTGCGGGACCCTAAGGAGATTAGGAAAAGGGCTCCTTAATTAATTAGACTAACTGTGGGCCAAACCCACTTCTCTAATTAATTAAATAATATTAATGGGCCACCAACATTATATTATTGCACTCCCTTTCCCTAGCCCAAATTACATTTGAGACTCAAATAATAATTACTCGATTTACCTCCCCACGTTTAAGATATAATGTCCATTAATTAATTCGATTACTGACAATCAAGAATTAATTAATTTATTATTATTTCACCGAAGCTAGCGCTCGTTCATCACATTCTTATTATGCCGGAATTTAATCCACCTGCAGGGTTTAGCATAACAATCCTTCATGAACTCACTCCGGGGACATCATCAAACTAACGCACATGGTGACTGTATATATCCTAACAGCACATCCTATATATAATAATATTACCCAAAACAGTAGGAATATTAATCCAGCGAACTGAACCTCACCCATGTGAATCAAAGTAATATATATTATATATATCTGCCTGTTTAATATCTTACGGGTTAAGAGAACGCAGTAATTAACCGAGGCCTAGTTCATTTACGACGATCAGTATAAAATGAACTTCTCCTCTCTGGGATCTTGTTCAATACATAAATGTACTAGTGCAACTAATCAGTCAAGACAAACTGTACAGTTGACACTACAACCGTTCCGATGGGGTGTTCATGTCCATCTAGGTTGTGAACAACTATTCTTGTTTGCAAGTGACTGATAGAGTGATCTTCGGTTCGCCCGATGACGACCCACCCTATCTAAGTGCAGAACAACAGAACGTAGAACTTGTTTAATCTAACATGATTCTCATTCATAAAGGGTAAATGTGTAATAACATGCAAAGCCAAGCTTTCAGTATATAACACTAACAATCTCCCACTTATACTTAAAGCTTTCGCTTTTACAGTATAGTCCTATCAATCCGTTATTCTAAAAGACCTATGTCGATCCTATTGCCATGCTCATGACTCCCATTCCTTCCACGTGTTTGACGAAGACCTTCCCCGGCAAACTCTTCGTGAAAGGATCAGCTAGGTTGTCCTCTGACGCAATCTT